GGTTGATCCTGACAGGCAGGGTGGAAGCCTGCCTCCTTAATGACCGTAATTGTGTTGACGAGGGAGTTAAAACAACTTTTAGTCTAGCGTGACACCAACCAAGTTAACACTGTGCATATTATGGTCGCTTTTAAGCACAAGGGGGCTATCCGAAAAATGCTGTTTTGAGAAAATCGAAGCTAAAGTTTTTGCCCCTTGTTCAGTTTCTATGAAAAATACAAGGAGGGTTTTCTCCATTACCAAACAAAATATACACACCAATGATATCAAACTTCTCCTATAGGTAGGGCAATGCCAACTTTTGGTGTAGATCAAGATTTCTGGAAATCCTCGAAACCTGGGTTAGCACGCTTGTCCATTTAATACTCCAAGCAGTATACACACTCAAAGTGAATCGTCGTGAAAAATTATGAGTGATGAATGGATGTAGGCCTTAGTGTAGGTTATTAATTAAGAACTCATTTAATGGCCAAGGAAAGAAAGGGTTATGCATTGAGTATCTTGCTTTACTTTTGCGCTAATGAGTTCGCACTGGTCAACACCAGTGTGTTGTGGGCCAAAGTTCCGTAACTGCAAGAGCCTGTCTGTGTGATGAGGTGTTACCTGAAGAAAGCTGTTGCAACACCGCACATGTTCAGAGCTAAAAGGATCTATTTAGCAAAACATCGTGTCTAGTTTTATCCTATTCGCCATCCAGGAAGCAGTTTCGTTGGAGAGTGGGGGAGGAGATGGGGCGGGGGGAGAGGGGTGTTGTACGTAATTTTGCAGTAAAATATTCGTGAAATAATTTATCTGCTAATTCAAAGCACCACAATCGACAACCTCTTTCACTCTCGACAATGGTGGGCAGTCCGTATGAGCATTGATATTATGAGCAGAGAGTTTTAGTTTTAGTATAGGTTTTACGGCGCTCGCAACTGCATAAGGTCATAGAAGCGCCATAAAATTAGAGGTATTACAAGAGAGTAACAAACATAAAAAAGAAGAAGGGGAGATAAGGACGATATATTTATGTTTGATAGGAAAGAAGAAGCAAACCACACCAGAGCACCCGCCAACCACCCACAGAGTAGATAGTTTCAAGGCTTGTGTTTTGTCACTGACATTTAGTTCTTTTCTTTAAATTACTTAAATTTTAATGCTCTTGTCAAGTCGCACAGACATACCACTATGAACATTACTTTTCCCACTTGATGGTGGCGAATAAAAATATATTATTTTCAGTTAGTGATGCTCCTCAAGACAGATGAAATAGCAGTGTATGTGTGTGTGTGGTGCATGCGTGCGTGAATATGTGTGTGCACGTGTATGTAATACTATGTGCCTTTAAAATTGATTTGTAAATCCATAATATGTATCATGTTAAGTGCATAGAGCATTGCATAAGTGGATATGCGCTATATAAATGCAATCCATTATTATTATTACCCATAACATCGTCGCTGCTGTAGAAAGAACCTTTTCGTTCCCGCGAAGTGGCACGAAGGTACAGCAAGTCGTACCTCCCCTAAAAGCTAGACCAGCCAGGCAAGTTGTCAGACAGAAGCGGTGCGCACCTTTTGTCCCCCTGGAATGTCTCGCTTGCACGTCTTTCACACTTTGTGACATAGCTCCCCTTTCTGTTCGCACCTTGAACCTGAAGGCCTAGTTTCCTCATTATGCAAGAGAAGGGTACGGACCTGATGAAAAGAAGATGATTCCTATCTATCTATCTATCTATCTATCTATCTATCTATCTATCTATCTATCTATCTATTTATCTATCTATCTATCTATCTATCTATCTATCTATGCGCACACCTTTTAATGCGTATTCGATCCGTATCCGAATGGCGCACTATCCTCCTTGTTACAAAAGCCTGTTTTGGCTGAATTCCCTTTTTGTCCCCAGCTGGAATTTCTTTCGAAAGCAAAGGCTTAAAAGTCTCAAAAAGTCAACGACAAAGCAAAATAACGGCGTACACTGAGTTATTTCTGTCACATATTCATCATTCGGGTATACAATAATTAAATCTTCGGGTATTGATACCGTCTTTTTTTCTGAGATACAGTGTCCTTCGCAGACCAGGTTTGACCCTGACACGCATTGTGGAAGTAGCCTGCCTCTCCTCTCTCTCGCCCTTTTTAACTCCCAGAGGAGCATAGGCCATCAACAACATTTCTCTAGCGAAGCCTGTCCTGTGCACCTTTTAGCCTGCCTCTTAAGTGATCTTTAATCTAAACTTTTGAGCTGCTGGAATGTGAAATATTGACAAAATCAGAACCACAGCTTTAACCGATTTATTGCTAGTCCCGAAACTGTTTCGGGCTTTTTAGTGACACACAGAAGCGCATTCCTTTGTTACATGAATTCCGATGTATTACAACACATTTCTCTTCTGTCGATTTTTATTATAGACATATATTGATAAAGACAATTTCCAGCAGGAATACACTTAGACTTCCAGACCTGTTCCATAACCCAGGTTACTAGCATGGCAGTGAAGGGGTTAAAAACTGGAGGAAAAAACACGTTTTCAGACAAGATTGTTTCTATTATTTGATCCGCAGTTCTGCGAAGAATTGATTTCATCCGGTATTATTCTTATTACAAGGTTGTTGTTTTTTATGTGGACTCCTCTGAGACCGTTCATCGACCTATCGATCGGAATAGAGAATTTCGTAGCGTACGCATGTAATTTGGTGTATGTGACTGACAGCTTGTAAGTAAAGGGTTTAGTTTAAGAGAGAGGGAAAGGAGCAGAGGGCTTAAGTAGAAAAAAAGAGAAAAAGGGCAAGGAAAGTGAGGTGAAAAAGGGGTGGTGAGAGAGGGGGAGATAGGGGCCCAGCGAGAGAGAGGGGGAAGGGAGGGGGAGGAGCGAGAGGTATTGACAGAGAGAGAGAGAGAGAGAGA